ATCTATTTTTTATGTTAGTCACCATACAGTACATCATTAGTTTTTGATGACAACTGATTTTAAGGGACACAGTCATGCAAAGGGGAAGGGAGTTGCCTGTTTGACAAGCAGTAAAGCACTCCAGCTGGTGGGGAGTGTGGTAGCTCACACAGATCTTTCCAGGCCAAAGTGTGGAGGCCCCAAAACCAGTCCCTCAGATCTTCACTGTTGAATTGGGATGATGTTTCTTTTTACAGGTATCCCCCGCCTTTTGAAGGTTCACAGTATTCCACTTCACGTTCATGAAAAACCTACACTGGTTCTTGTTTTCGCTAACTGAAAGAAATTCAAAGAAGACTTTTGCTTTACTGAAAAAAGGTGAAAAGCAAAAATAGCACTCAGCGTTTGTTTTGCAGTGCGCTGGGACAGGGGCAGTGCGCACCCCACGCTGCTTCCCCTGACCTGCCCTTGAGCATCTCAGCAATCAAGCCAGCAGAGCTCTGAGCTGTGTCTGGGAGCATCTGTCTTCCCGGATTTGTTTTGTGCATTCGTTAGCAAGATGTGTCCTAAGGTGTTAGAGAAGCCAAAGAGAGATTTTTGGGGTCTAGGAGTGCCCAGAAATAAATGGCAATAAATTTAATGATAATTGCTTTCATATAGATCAGGGGTAATTGCTTCACGTTACACCCTTCGGCTTACGAAGGTTTCCTGCAATGCTCTGCTTTCGGAGAGCAGGACAAACCTGTAACTGGCGCTGCATCGCTGTTGCTCAGGGAGCCTGGGCTCTGAAATCCTGGTTGAGAAGTGATCAGAAAATAGTTTGTGGGCAGGTTGTTTCTGATTCTAGGAATTCGAGGACTCACCAGCTTTCTCTTATCATCATGGGTTCTTAATCTTGGATTTATTTTCAAAAATGTCTATTACCTTGCAAGGGAAATACTTAGATGGGAATTAGGTCTCCTAGACTCTACCCTGATCATAATTGGGTCCATTAAAAATTTTTGAGTGCCGAAGGGATGGTGCTGTTGCCCTCACAGGACATCCATCTACCCTATTCATTTTTCCACCTTCAAAAAGAGCTTGAATACCATCTCTTTTGGGAAGGTCCATTCTCTCTCATCCTCTCACTCTGACCTGGCCCTCTTGGTTTCCATCGCCCTGTGTATTCTTTCTGTCAAGGCACAGACGACACTGCATTATCATTACTGACTTGGGTGTTACTGTCCTCAGTTGTAGATGTTAAATCTTACCCAACTTGGCACGCCTCCCCCACACTCAGTACAGCTCAGTAAATTGGAAGGATGGGTGGGATGGCTGCCAGTGCCAGGCTGAGTGCGCCCCAGGGTCCCTAAAATACTTTCAGCCCTTTAACCCAAATGGAGGGGGATTTATACACAGGAAAATGTGCTAATGTGAGGTAGGGACAGAAATCTCAGGTCTGAACTGTTGCTCTCTGGGAGGACCAGGGCACCCTACACTACAGAGGTGATGCCGGAACTAGAACTTCTAGAGAAAAAAGGAGTGTGCAGCTATGTTTTTTTTATTTTTATTTATTTATTTAAAGATTTTATTTATTTATTTGACAGAGACACAGCGAGAGAGGGAACACAAGCAGGGGGAGTGGGAGAGGGAGAAGCAGGCTTCCCGCTGAGCAGGGTGCCCGGTGTGGGGCTCGATCCCAGGATCCCGGGACCATGACCTGAGCCGAAGGCAGGTGCGTAATGACTGAGTCACCCAGGTGCCCCATCTATGTTTAAATGTATCACCAACGGGCGCCTGGGTGGCTCAGTCATTAAGCGTCTGCCTTTGGCTCAGGTCATGATCCCGGGGTCCTGGGATCGAGCCCCGCATCGGGCTCCCTGCTCCGCGGGAAGCCTGCTTCTCCCTCTCCCATTCCCCCTGCTTGTGTTCCTGCTCTCGTTCTCTCTCTCTCTGTCAAATAAATAAATAAAATCTTTTTTAAAAAAATAAATGTATCACCAACATTTTGTATTTTACCATCTCTTGCACAAGGCTCTGCCTTTCTCGATCCTTCTTAGAAGGAAGTAACCGTTTTTCCAGTTCTCATGGCACTTCATCTGAGCCTCTTTATTGTCCAGCCACGTTCCACTGTGTGGCACACTTACAGCATTCATGCCTCATCACTTCTGCTCGAGGCCAGGATCCATGCCTGGTGTTAATTCCACAGCCTTCAGTGCACCTGGCGCTTGAAAAAGCAAGCCTGAGGTTTTCCACATGTCATTGTGAACCACTCACTTTGCCACTGCACATAGTACTGACCTCAGAACTTAACAATGGTGCAGGCACCCTCTTCTCTAAACACACGGTACAAGAAGTATACAGAATAAATTGTGATAGTTCTTTTTCACGTATCTTCCAATTTTTTCTTCCTTTCCAGAAGTAACCACTGTTACCTATTTATTAAATACTCTTACAGGCTTTTTCATCATAATGTTTTACTAGGATGGCCCTGTCTTCTGTGATGTCAGTGGAACTTCTGATTTCATCTAAAGGTGAGCTGGTCCCAGGTACAATGTCTGAGACAATGTGCCTTTTTCTTTATATTCTGGGAGGCAGCTCTGGAGATGACTGCTTCTTCCTGAAATGCTCTTACTTTGTTTTTCCTGAGAAACCAAGGTTTACTTTCTTGGTTCTTTAGTCTCTAGGTGAGGGATGGCTTGTGGCTTCCGGGCCTGTGGGAACTGGGCTATTCCAGGTTCTGATATTTGCAGCTTTTAGATGTCCTGCTTTCTGATCTTCCGATAGGTCTATTTTTGGCAACAAGTTCTCTGGAACCAGGTTATTAGGAGGAAGGGGGTCAGAGTTGACAAGAATATCCAGGCTGGGTAGGTTTAGGGAAGACCAAAATGATTCTGGGTTTAAAATTAATTTCCCTTGTTTCAGGACCAAAACTGTGTTCCAGGATATGGCAGTCACTGTTCTCTGGCTAAACCAACAGCCATTTACCACCCCTCCTTCTCTCTTCCCCAATTCTTCCTTTCTTGAACTGAAGTGTGACATCTGGAGCTGAAGCAACTATCTTGTGCCACTGAGGCAACAGTTGGTAGACTAACTATGAGAGCAGGAAGGAAGGAGGAGCTTGATTTTGCTGACATCACGGAGCACTGCATAAGACTTGGACCTGCCTACCTTCTAACTTTCTGCTCAATGAGAAAAATAATTGCTTAGTTATTGTTAGTTAGGTTTTTGTTACTGATATTTAAGAATAATTCAAACTGGTATAAGTATAACCATCCGTTTCCCCAGAAGAGCTGCTCAGGTCATCAGAAGCCACCAACATGAAAAAGGAGTCACAAGACTTACCTGCGCACAGGAGGCACTGACCATCCAGGCTCCTTGCACTTGGTTTGCTGATTGTCAGTCAAGTCAATGCAGTGGCAATGTGTAAGCAGTGGGTTTCACATCTGCTTTACTCATGCCTGCATTCTCTTTTTTTCTCCAATTGGGAGTCCCATGGAATGACTAACTTCCCAACAGATGCTTCCAGAAATGGCCTCAGTGAAAATGTCAGCAGCCACAATTCAACGACTATCCCCAAGATCATTCGATGCTATCCACACTGCCCATCAACAAAACTTTGCCAGGGGAAGCAGGTGCCATTTGCAAATTACTGCTTGGTAAAACAACAAATGAGAATGACCCAGGTGCAAAAGGGCACTCCCTTTTGCAATGATCCAGCTCCCAAATGTATGATATTGGTTTGTATTTTCAGAAATGAAACTAAGTCTGATTCTTTGGAACCAAGGAGATTTCTAGGTAGAGAGCCTGCTGCTTAATAGGCCCCCAAAACACCATCTCTCACCTGCCCTGAGTTCTGCCCTCTGGTCTAGTACAGGATAGATGACTCTGAGATTCATTGGCTGTTCACACCGGGAAAGTTTGCACAGACACTTCCTAATAATGTGTTTGCAATGGTTATGTACAGCTTTGAGCATTGCTTTGCCCTTCCCCTTACTGTTAGTTGGAAATATGTATTTTTCTCACTCCAGACTATTCCCCAGAAAAAAATTCTTTTCTCAGAGAAGAGTTAAAGAATATGTAATGGAGTCCTATAGAAATAAGACTGAAGGTTCCAGATTCTGAAATTGATTGATCAACTCTGTGTAGCAGAATGCAGAAGAGATGTAGAGAACAAAGTCCGGGACTATTTACACCTACTTGTTAACAGTGATTACCTCTGCCCCTCTATCCTCTCTGTTCCTACCTCCCTTACTTCCTGCCCTTTCTCCCCTTTTCCCCTCCTCTCCCTTTTACCATTTCTTTGCTAACATAAACCTAGTTTGTCATTGTCTGAAGTCAAGAGTAAAAGACAAATATAAAAAATTCTGAAAGAGAAATTACTTGTAATGTGAGCTCCATTCTGTGTGTTAACTTCAGCCATTTGTTTACATTTGGCAAATCTCTGGGTCCTCAAATTCTAGGAAAATGTTTCTAATAATGCTAATATTTTACAATTTGTGAACTAGAGTTTTGTTTTTTGTTTTTTTTTTTTTAAAGATTTAATGTACTGTTGGAAGATGGGGGGACATTCCTCCACCACTTTTGATGTTTCTTCCATGTGGATGAAATGTAATTATTTAACTCCTGACCTCTCTCTTTATTAGCTCTTCCTTTGGGGAGTAATTTATTTGATAGGTAAATTTGAAATGTAAATACCTAGGTATGTTCTGCTCAGCTTCTCTTCTTCCTCTGGGGAGCTAGCAGGTCACAGGAGTTCCAGCTATGCTCTGTTCTTCCAGGGCAAGCTCTGCTCTGCCCCTGCCCAGGGAAGGAAGTCTAACATGACTGGGTAAGGTACATCTGCCTAATTCTGGAGTTCATTTAATTAAACTATGCCCTCCAATCTAGTTTTATCAGCAATAAAGTTAATATTTTAATTCTCCATGTTCCACTCTTTTGTTTTATAGCTTACATATATATAACCCAGGTGGGAAGGAGAAGTGCTTTATTGGGATTTTCAGAAACTCAGAATATACATCACACTATACTAGCTGTTGACTAGATGTCTGATTAGCTGTCTTCAATATACGAGACTTAAGTGCAAGACTATATGAATTATTATACTTAAAGTCATTTATTTGCTGCATATTTTATTTTTCAAATTTTTATTTAAATTCTAGTTAGTTAACATACGGTGTAATATTGGTTTCTGGAGTAGAACTTAGTGATTCATCACTTAGATGACACCGAGTGCTCATCATAACAAGTGCGCTGCTTATGAAGTCTTTTAGTGGAGGATTTTTGGACAGATCCAGCAGACAAAATCAGTAAGGACTTACTGAACTCAACACCATTGATCAACTGGACATAATTGACATCTATAGACTACTTCATCCAACAACAACAGAATACACATTATTCTCAAGCTCACATGGACCATTCACCAAGAGAGACCACATTCTGGGCCACAAGGTATACCCTAACAATTTGAAAGAATAGAAATCACACCACATCTGCTCTCAGATCACAATGGAACTAAATAGATATCAGTAACAGAAAGATAACTGGAAAGTCCTAAAATTTGTGAAGCTTTAAACAACATACTTCTAAACACATGGGTCAAATAAGAAATCCCAAGAGAAAGTTTAAAATATTTAGAACTAAATGAAAATGAAAACAACTTATCAAAAATTGTAGTGAAAGCAGTGCTTAGAGGGAAATTTATGACAATACACATATTAGAAAAGAAGAAAGAGCTGAAATCAATATTTTAAGTTTCCACCTTATGAAACTAAAAAAGAAGAGTGAATTAAACCCAAAGTAAATAGAAGAAATAATAATTAGAGAAGAAATTAATGATATTGGAAAAAGGATATCAATCAAGAGAAACAATGAAACCAAAAGCTAGTTATTTGAAAAGATTAATAAAATTGATAAGCCTATATATAGCCAGGCTAAGAAAAAAAGAGAGAGGACACAAATTACTAATATCAGAAAGGAAGGAGAAGAATCCTTACAAATCCCAAGGACATTAGAAAGATAATAAAGTAATACAATGAATAGCTCTATATCCCCAAATTTGATAACCTACATAAAATAGACCAATTCCTTGAAAAAAACAATTTGCCAAAACTCACACAAGGAGAAATATCTATTAAATAAATCAATAATTAATAACTTCCCAAAACAGAAAGCACCAAGCCAGGTGGGTTCACTGGTGAATTCTACCAAACATTTAAGGAAGAAATTATACCAAGTCTCTACAATTTCTTTCAGAAGATAGAAGCCGAAGGAATACTTCCTAACTCATTTTATGAGGCCAGCATTACCCTAATACCAAAGACATTACAAGAAAAGAAAACCACAGATGAGTATCTTCCATGACCACAGACACAAAAATCCTCAACAAAATATTAGCAAATCAAATCCAACAGTGCCTAAAAAGTAGGATTTATCACCAGGTATCCCAAGTTTGGTTCAACATTAAAAAATCACTAATGTAATCCATTACATCAACAAACTAAAAATGAGGAATCACATAAGCATATCAATAGATGAAGACAAAACATTTGTCAAAATTCATCATCCATTCATAACACTCAGTAAACTAGGAATAGAGGGGAACTTCCTCAACTTGATAAAGACTGTCTCCAAAAACCTAGAGCTAACATCATCCTTAATGGTGAGAAACTCCAAATTTTCCCACCAAGACCAGGTACAAAGGAAGAATTTCCCCTTTCACCACCTCTTTTCAACAAAGTCCGTGCCAATGTAATCATGCAAGAAAAGGAAATAAAAGGTATACAGATTGGGAAGGAAGAAATAAAACTGTCCCTTTTTTCACAGTTGAGATGAATAGACAAATTCCTGGAACTAATAAACAATTATAGCCAGGTTAAAGATGCAAGGTTAATATAAAAAAATCAATTGCTTTCCCTTATATCAGCAATGAACAAGTGGAATTTGAAATTAAAAACACAATACCATTTACATTAGTACCTCCCCAAAATGAAATAGTTAGGTATAAATCGAACAAAGTACATACAAGATCTATGAAGAAAATTGCAAAACTGATGAATAAAGTTAAAGAACTAAATAAATGGAGAGAAAGTCTATATTCATGGATAGGAAGACTCAATATTGTCAAGATGTCAGTTCTTCCCAATTTGATCTATAGATTCAATGCAATCCCAATCAAAATCCCAGCCAGTTATTTTGTAGATGTCAACAATCTGATTCTAAAGTTTATATGGAGAGGCAAAAGACCCGAATAGCCAATACAATATTGAGGAGAAGAACAAAGTTGGAGAACTGACATGACCTGACTTCATGACTTATTACAAAGCAGCAGAAATCAAATCAGTGTGGTCTTGGTGAAAGAAGAGAAATAGATCAATGGAACAGGATCAAGAGCCCAGAAATAGACCTAAATAAACACCGCCAACTTATCTCTGACAAAGGAGCAAAGGTAGTCTTTTCAACAAGTGGTGTTGGAATAACTAACTGGTCATCCACATGCAAAAAAAAAAAAAAAAAAAGAATCCAGCCACAGACCTTACACCCTTCACAAAAACTAACTGAAAAAGGATGATAGACCTAAATGTAAAATGCAAAACTGTAAAAATCTTAGAAGGTAATACGGGAGAAAACCTGGATGACCTCAGGTATTTATTGTAATGACTCTTTTAAGACACAACACCAAATCCATGAAATAAGTAATTGATGAGCTGAACTTCATGAAAACTAAAAACTTCTCTGTGAAAGACCAGAGAATGAGAAGACAAGTCACGGAATGGGATAACATATTTGCAAGAGACATATCTGATAAAGGACTATAATCCAAAATATATAACGAACTCTTAAAATTCAACAATAAGAAAGCAAACAACCTGAATAAAAAATATGGGCTAAATAAATAAAAGGCTGAAGGGAGATTGAATCTCATCAAGGAAGATATACAGATGGCAAATAAACATTGAAAAGGTATTCCACATCCTATGTCATCAGGGAAACTCAAAAAAAACAATGAAATACCACTACAAACCTATTTAGCATAGTCAAAATCTGGAACACTGACAACACCAAATTCTGATAAGGCTGTGGAACAACAGAAATTCTCATTCATTGCTGGTTAGAATGCAGAATGGTACAGTCACCTTGTAAGACAGTTTGGCAGTTTCTTACAAAGCTAAGTATGCTCTTAATCCAGGATCCAGCAATGGCACTCCTTGGTATTTACCTAAAGAAGCTGGAAACTTATGTCCACACAAAAACCTGCACACGGATATTTATAGCAGCTTTATTCATAATTGCTAGAACTTGAAAGTAACCAAGATGTACTTCAGTAGGTGAATGAATAAATAAACTGTGGTATCAGACAATGGAATATTCAGTACAAAAAAAAGAGGATTTTGCTTTTTGCAAGATTGAACAGACATCACCAGGATTGTATATAGAAATCTCAGAAAATATTAGATTTATCCTCTTAAAAATAAGCTATCGTCCCCTCCAATAAGTTAACTATTTTCTTGGTTGTATGATTTCTGCACAGTCATTTGGATTTAGGATTCCTGATAGTCAGTATCTTCCGCGGTGCCCATGTTCAGTTGTTTATTGATGGCAGACATATTCTAACAGTCCTTCTTGTGGGCAGTCACACGGTGTAGCAAAAAGAAGTCTGAGCTGGTATCTATCTCGTTTGAACTTCCATGGCTGTTGGGACTTCTTTTAGAAAATGCTTGGGGTTTTTTTTCCCCATGTGCTTTGGTTATTTCTGGCTTTAACTTGTCTTCTTGGATGGCCTGTTGGCAACTCTTGGCCAGTTGCAACTCCTTTTGTTCTTTGTATTCTCACCAGCTGTGTTCTATTTCTGAAATTTCGGTAATTATGTTGAAGAACAGAAGAGAAAATGAGCAAAGGAGCACGGCAGGAAAGCTAGGAGGGAGAGTGGAGGGAAAGAAGGCAAACATGTAGGTGAGATCGGGGGCCTTCAGGGTCGCATGGCCATAGACAAGAAGGCGAATGCGTAGGAGGGGAGCCTGTGTTGTGCGGATAATTAGGCTGCAGAGTGACTCTCTGGAGCTGTGGTAGGAAACCTGCTCCATATGGAGAGTTACAGCAGTGGGGCCAAAGCTCATCCAAACTCCACACATAGACCCTCGAGCTCCGAAACCTACTCAAGAAAGCTATTAGGGTAGAGGGATATGGGGACGCAGGACACCTAAGTGCAGGAAAAGCAGTTTATATGCAAAAAGGACGTGTAACCAGGCGCTGAATAGCGAGCAGGAGCCAAGTCAGAATCACATTCACACAATCTTCTCACACAATTCACACATATCTTCTCTGGGACCCCTTGGCTTCTTATCTCCTTCTCCCTGTGTGTCTGCTCGATTATTGTTTTTCTTTCTATAGATTGATTTCTTAAGTTTATCCTTCTTGTGCCTAGTGTGTAATAGTCATCTCTACACGCCGGCCTCAGCCCTTGACTTGACCTGACCTTGAACTTCACGGAAGCTAGCTTATGAGGTCTCTCTGTGTCCCAACCTCAAACTCCTAGGAGATAAAACTTCATGTGCCTCTTTCCCAGGTACCCTGGACTGTGTCCTTGTGTGGTACTCACCCCTAGCACCGTCTGGCACTGGGGAAGGGCAGGGTCATACCTGCTTTCATCTGAAGCAGATTCTTGCACAGAAACAGGAAGACAATTATTGGCATCCTTAGTACACTGCACACCCCAAGAAATACGACCAAGTTGGAGGATCCCCCAGCCTAGGATAAACTTTCATGTATTTAGTTAGAACTGATGTGAAAGCTAAATTTTCAGACTTAAACATAAATGGAGTTTGAGTGAAAATTGTAGTCCTGTCATAATGGTACAGCTTTTCCAGATTTTGTTCTCGGGGAAGTAAGACCGGTGAGAGGATTTTATCTGAGGCCCCCTGC